ATTTAATTGATTAGTAAGTTTAAGGTATGTAAAATATTAATTTTTTGAAATAAGCTAATTAAGATAATGGTATTTTTTAGGAAAAAATTTTTTTTTTAATCTTTAGATTGAAGTAAAAGATTTAAAGTAATATTATTTTTAAGTTTTAATATATTTATAATAATAGTAAGTGAAATAAAATTAGTTTATATAAAGTATAAGTGTTTTAGATGCTATTTTTTCATAAAATGATTATTATAATACAATATTATTTTGTATAATATAAGATATTTACATATATATATAACTTAATAAAATATAAGCAAATCAAAAATAAATATTAATTATCATAAATAATTATGATTATTATATCATTATATAATATGATTTTTTTATAAAGTTATATATTATAGAAAATTTTTAAATTTTATTTCATTAAATTATTTTTTCATTATTTTTTTCTAAAACTATATATTAATTATTTTTAATTAATAATAATTGATAAAAATAAAATAAATAATAAAAAATTTAAAGTGAAGTTAGAAAATAAAGAAAAAGAATGATTAAAATTTTAAAATAATATTTTTAGATGTTTTTTAAAATAATAAATATAATAAATTATTTTTTATAATCATTAAAATGTCAAGATATTATGTTTTTTAAAATATTTTATAAATGATTTTTATTTATTATTTAAGGATTAATACATTTTTTAAAAAATATAAAGTAATTTATTCAGTTAGTTAGAATTAATAAATAATTTAGCAAAAAATATTAAGAATTAAAACTATTTAAATTTATAAAATATTGTAAATATTATAATATAATAGAGTAAAAATTTTAAAATTAAAGTAAATACAAGAAAAAATAATTTTATAGTTTAAAAATAATTAAAATGATCAATATATATAAATATAAATAAAAACTAAAATAAAATAAATGAAAGTACAATATTTTTTTAATTTTTAAATATATTTTATAATTTTACAAAAAAAAATAGAATAGTTATTAATTTAAATATAAAATAAATTGAATATATATTAATTAATCCTTATGTAATTCAAATAAATATTACATTATTTTTTTTAATATAAAAAATAGTTACTTAAATATTAATAGAATAATTATTAATAAAATATAGTAAAGATAAAAAAGTAATTAAAAAATATATTAAATTTATTAATATTAAATTAGTATATCTTTTATCAAATTTTATAGCTTATTTAATTTATGATTATAAAAATAATTTATAGTTTAAAGTAAAAATTCTATAAATTTATAATTAGTTAATTTAATTTTAAAATTGATTATATAAAATGAATATTAATTATTAGTTACTTTTATTTATTTAGTAAATAAAATAAATATTAACTAATATTATTTTTTTAATTAATTAATTTTTTTTTAAAGAGTAAAAAAAATAGAACTATAATTACAAATTAATAAATCTATTATAATTAAAAAGTTTTTTTAGAAAAAAATAAAAATAATAACATATATATATTTATGTGACATTTATAAGATTATTTATTATTTACATAAATAAAAAACAGATTATAAAGAAATATAATTTTAATTAGAATTAAAAAATATATAAAAAATCAGTATTTACAAAAGTAAAAATCAGAAATAAATGGTAAATTAGTTTTTTATATATAAAATATATTAAATTTAAGAACATTTTTATTTTTAATAAAACTTTTTAAATATAGATCAGAAATTTATAAAAAAAAATTGTTTCAAGAAAAAAAAGTATAATTTAACATAATTTTAATTATTAATAAAATGAAAATTTTGAAATAATAATAGTTTTTACAAAAATGATATATATTTAAAATTTAGAAAAATTTTTTTATAAACACATTTTCTTATAATTACATTTTTTAATAATTTAAGTTTATAATTATAAGAAAAAACTATTATATAAGTTTAATTATAAATGAAAAAATAAAATTTAATAAATTTTTTTTTTAATAATTATATAATAAATTGCTTAGCAATGAAAAATTTTAAATTCATAATGCTTATCAGAATTAAAATAATTTGTTTGATTTAAAAAATTTTAAAATTTTTATCTGACCTCTATATTTATTATTTGGATTCTTACAAAGTTATCATTAGCCTCTTTTAATATAATAATAATTAGTTATTAAATATATTTCTTTAGTTAGGTGATGATAATGTATCAAATAGTAAGCCTGATAAGCAGATAATTTAATAAAAATTAGTTCTTTTAATTTTGATTAATAATCAGCATTTTTATGTTTTTACTATTATTGTATCTATCTAAGGACTTACCTATTCTTACCTATCTACTTAAAGGGTAAAATGCAACTTAACTATTTATACTAACTCATTTAATAAAATTTTTTGTAATCTGAAAGTATTGCTATTTTCACACTTAATGTCATTTTTCAAACCTTTGAAAATTTTAAATCCAATTCTGTATGTGTATTAATCCAAGTCTTTTTTCAAAACGGAAACTGTTTGCAAATGATTGACCTAATGAATATTTTATAAATAAATAAACATTAAAATAAGTAAAAAAAAACACTTTGGACGAATAAAACGTGTAATACAGTAATACTAAATTAAATACAAACAATTTCACAAGATCCGCGTAAAATACAAATCACGTGGGGATGAAAAAGTGTTGGGAACATGTTACTTTACATATGATATGTCATACGATAGATATTCTTTGAATTGCTAAATTTAAAAATGGATTTAATATCAGAAGGGCAAGAAATCCCGATGATATCTAGAAATGAATCAGCATGTAACATGATATTATTGACCATAATATCGGAAATATATTACATGCGAACGTAGTTATGAAACCAACTTGCCTTACCAGTTATATCTCCTAAAAGTATCGGCCAAAAAGCCTTGGCAATTAACTAATTAACTAATGAACGTTAGTTGTGCAAAAATATATGAACAAATTATAAATTAATATACTTGCTTAGTCACGAGGTATGACATTTGTTTATCTTATGATAGCTTCGCAGGTGATTACCAATATATCCAAACCTTTATATAATTGATGCGCCAATATGTTAATTTTTATTTTACATAATTACTCATAATTAACAGTGGATTAAAAAAAAAAGAAAATATATATTTATAATTAATTACAAATTACGAAGAAAGAAAAACAAATATATCTACAAAGATTTCTTCTGTGCCCAAAATCGATAACTTTTGTCATAACCCTTATTTCTTGCAATTTCTTTAATTGCAACTTCAACTAATTTGTTATATTGTCCTTCATTAAATTGAATGTCTGATACGGCGTTTGATAAATTTTTTGCTCCCCACATAATTAATTGCCCGTAAGCTTCATACATTTTTTCACCCCAACCAATTTTTGCTTTCCTTTTATCATATTCAATATTAGTCAGCTGATTATTTGAATGTAAGAATCCAGGAATATGTGGAGATATAATAAGTTCAATTCCTTTTTCTTGACGTATTTTATCAACAACTAATAAAAAAAAAAAAAAAAAAAAAAAATTCAGTTTTATAAGTTTATGATATCTATAGAAAATGAATTTAAACGTCAAAAAATATATTACTTACTACTTGTTCGCCATTTACGAACCAAATCCGATTCATTATGCCAAAGAATGTCCCTTTCCATTATTTCAATCCAGCCATTTGGCTTACATACTCGAATCAATTCTTTTATTGCTTCAGGCCAATCACTTATCGTAAGCGCAAACATTATTAATCGCATATAAACGAAATCAAAGGAATTATCTTCAAAAGGTAACCTTTTAAGATTTCCCACAATGAAATTAGTATTTTCAGGCTTTATCGTTTGAGGAAAAGTAGCGACTATATCTATTCCGGTGAATGAACTTTTTGGATACTTGTTAGCCATCTCTAAACTCCAAACACCAGGACCGCACCTAGATAAAAGATGCAAAAATTTATTAATCGGGAATAATTGGCGGATTCTTGTCAAAATTTCACGATCTCAAAGGCATACCCGACATCCAAAACTTTGGAACCAATTTCCAATAGAAAATCAACAGGGGAAGAAAAATTACTTTTCCATATATTTTGAAAAATATAATGTTGTAAGGTTAACCGATCAATCTCATCATCGTCCAAAGGGAGTACATAAGATGCACAGTATTTTCTTTTATCAATATAATTATATATTTCAACATCACGTTTTTTATGAATAATTTCTTGATCAATGGAAATAGTAGATGCCGAACTTTTGCTTCTCTTTTGTCGACCAGTTTTTGATTGAACTTTACCCATTTCAATTTACGTTGGAAAAAAAAAAGTGAAAATGAAAGAGGAAATCGTTTACATTTTATAAAATTTTTTAACACCGGATGATCATCTACTAAAAAAGTTCACAATTTATATACTACAGGAATAATTTAAGAAAAAAATTTTGAGCAAAATGGAATATATTTAGATAAGATTTTTTATGGAGAAAACTAATATGTCCTTTAAAGTAAAATGATTCACGTCGAAAATATCATTGATGAAATTCACTAATTTTCTTACTTATGCAATGAAAATCTTTGTTGATGATCTTATCAAATGTATACTTGTTGAAAGTTTCTTTCTATTAGCTCAATTTTTCTCACACAGCATGTGAATCTCATTCTCCAAGTTCGATAAATTTCCCATACCCTTAAAAACGATTATCATTGAGGTGAAATAACTTATTTTCCTTACCAAATTCGTAAGGTAAGCAAATGTAAGCATTTTTGTAATTTGTGGGGTGGGATAAGCAAATAAAATTACACAATGTTTATTTTTTTTTTTTTTCATGTAAATCATAATATTTGTGATTATATAAAAATTTAGATAATTTACGTGATCTCTTTTCGTACATATGTAAATATTTGTGGTCAAAGAACTATAAATAAAACGGTTTTCGCATCGTAAAATATTGATTTTTTCATTCTACCCATCTTTATTTTTATTTGATCTTTCTTTCTTTCTCCCTTTAATTTAATAAAATTTCAAATTTTACAATCAAGATTATAACAATGCATTTCGAAAAACGTATCAATTATATAGAAGAATACAAATATCATGAAAAAGAATTTGATGATATAAGTTTCCAACATAATATATTAAGTTATATTTGGCAAGGAGACTATTCATCGAGGATTCAAGAGAGGTTGATTAAAGGGAATACAAAAGTAATTGATTTAGGATGCGGGACAGGCCAATGGTTAATTGACATGTCTTTAAAATACCCTCTTTCAACATTTATTGGTATCGATATTTCTTCAAGATTATTTCCATCACAGGAAGATAAACCAAATAATGTAGCATTTTTACAATATGATCTTTTAGAACATCCTGGTATTCCTTTCCCAAATGAGACATTTGATTTCGTTTATTTGAGATGTTTATCAATGACATTTAAAGAAAATGATTGGGCTCATGTTATAAATGAAATTGTTAGAGTAACTGATATAAATGGATGTGTTGAATTTATGGATTTCCTTTGTGAAGGAGGTTTTAAAGGACCTATAATGGAGAAGTTATGTTCTTCATGTAAGTTCTTTTTCATTAGAAGGATGTCAACTTATTTTTCTTTTTTTAATATCTTTCTAATATCTTTTTAAAATATATTATCGTAGTGATAAGTTTCCTTGAGAGTAAAAATATTAAACCGCCCTCAACAACCAAATTAACGGAATATTTAAATCAAACAAATCAAATTTCCAACTTACACCTTGAAGTAAAATCATCTCCGTTAGGTTCGTGGGGAGGTAAATTAGGGGAACTTGTAAGTGTTTTATAATTACATTTTTTTAAAAGCTTTCTTTTCCAAATATTAATATTCAAATTTTTTTTTTTTAGATGTTATCAGATTATATAACAATATTTCAAAGATTCAAATCAATTTTAGTGTCATTTATGAAATTATCAGAAAAGGAATATGATAAATTATTGAGTGAATTAGAAAACGAATGTGTTAAATATCAACTATGTTGTTATACTTATAGGTTATATGGTAACAAAACCGTGTAAATCTGGGATAAATATTGAATTTCTGGCTTAAATTACCGGCCTATTTTTATGATGCCTGGCCAGCATTAATTTACTTCGGGTGTATTTTTTATCTTACATAATTACAGTTACATAATTACAGTTTTATTGTATATTAATTTAGATAATATTTAATAAATAAAAAACAAACTATAAATAACTAATGAATTTCTGTAACATTCTTATAAATTCCCAAAATAATGGAAAAATTAAACGGTAACACCCGTGCAATTGCGAATGCATAGTGCCACCTTTTAAATTTATCCTTAATAATAATATGCAATGAAAAAGGGGAAACTGCCGGAAAAAATCAATTTATTTTAAATATGATTTTTAGGTTCAAATCATTTTTTATTTTTCTTGTAGTTTCCCCCTTTTCTATTACAAAGGTTCATATGTTAAAAATTATATCATATATATGTATGTATATATCGGTTAACTGTAATTGGAAATTCCGATTTATCAACTTTTGTGTAACCGTGGTGTCTGAAATTTCAGATATAACGATAAGATAGGGTTTCCGTTCGAAATTTAAATATCATTTCGAAAAAATTCAAAAGATCGAAATTGATGTTTTTTTTGATATTAAAATATTATAAGTTTTAGTTTTTTAAAGATTCTTAAAATCTATTATTAAAATTTTTTTTTTTTTTTAAAAAAAAAAAATATATAATTATTTAAATTAATTAAAAAAAAAAAAATTTAATAAGACTTTAGTTAATTAATGTTATTATTTATTTATATAATTTGCTCTTTATTTACATATAGAACAGATTTGCGTATCATAGATACAAAAACGAAGTTCTAGACACGAAGTATTTAAATATTCGAATATTTAATAAAGTTCATGTTGCCAAAAAAACCACGTGCGCGTTCTTTTTCGGAACACTGACCATGTTTTCCGAGAGATGATTAATTTTTATATCATATTTTATTTTTAAAGCAAATATATTTGATGATTACAAGAATGAAAAACAATATCTATCTAGCCCAATATGATTATTAATACATATATTAATGACGCTTTTTTTGGTTCTTATTCTTGCCTTTTTTTTACTTTTTTTCTTGTTGCTTACGGGGTGAGAATTACATTCTTCTGGCGAATCCAAATCTAAAAGGAAAGAAATTAGTTATATTTAGACAAAGAACAAGCAAAATATGTTTAAATACCAGATAGCTCCCACACAGTTCCGTCTAATGAGACGCCCCATGGCACTGTTTTCTCTGGTTTCTCTGATACTGCATTAAAAAAATTTCCGAAAAACCATAATTTATCAGTTATAGCGTCCCATCTGAATACACGTTCATAGCAGTCCAGAAAAAGTAAGTCACAGTAAAAACTCCCAATAATAATTATATGATTAAAACCGCATTGTGCAATATCCATTATGTCACTATAAATATAATCTTTTTGAAGATCACCGCTTCGTATCTCTATATTAAGAGATTTTGCAATACGACAACGGTCTGATTCATTCTCGATCATTTCGACTACCAAGGTTGGATTATTGCCAGATGAGTCGAATCTATTATCGTACGACAAAGGGGACATGGAGGCTTCAATTCTCCATTTAGGCGTACTATCCGGGAGTACAAAGTAGCACGATGTTTTCGGGTAGTCTTCTTTCCATGAAGAACCCTCCAGGGTACCGACTCTGAACAATGGTCTCAGGATTGTGAGTAACCTTCCAATTTTTTCTCTGTTTGGACATTTAAATACATTTTTTCATCAATTTTACTCTCTCTTTCGCTGCTAGTTCGTTCGTTTTGTATGCCTAAGTTTTCCCTTCTTACGTTTCTCCGCTCTTTCCACGAATTGATACCCCGAAAAAGTAATTCTTGACGTTCCCCTTCCGAGCGGAAAATGTGAGATTTACCGTGGTTGGAAGAGTTTTCTCCTCCCCCATTCTCAGTAATTTTCCCACAAGGACCAACTGCATTTTCTCCAGATGTGCGACTTGGTTTTCGAATTTCTTCATTGGAGAATTCACCTTGTAATTGCATTTCACTTTTGGAGGTCGACTTTGCTGTACGTTCCAAAGAAGGGCTACTGCATCCCACACAGTGATGATAAGAATCGAACGAGTCACCTCCTTGCCCTTGTGGCCATGAGGCATTACAACTCCCTTCAATCTGCATAAAATAATGTTTTGTTAAATCACGAATTATACCTCTAGCCTTCAGAATTCAAGAATTCTTTTTATTATTTCCCAAGACAGCCCCATGATAAATTAAACTACAGTCATAACGACTATGCGATATAATGAATTTCACGATAAACGTTTCTTAAAATTTCGTCTTTGTAAACATATATAATCGTTATATCAAACAAATTAATTTTGACAGCGAATTTTTTCAGTGATCGGAGGGTTTGTTATATTGAGTTCTGACTGTTCTTTTTTTTTTCATGTAAAATACACCTGTAAGGATCTATGAAATCTGTTACGATCTCTCTCATCCATGGTTCTTGTAGTTTGTTAAGCCAGGCGTATGTACTTTGGAAATTGAAATTAGTAAACAAAAAATAATAAACAAAATAATAATAAGTGCAACCAAATTTATCCTGCTATTTTCCATACCCACGATCATCAAACTTGATGCAAAGAGACGAAATTCATTTCACTGTGCCTTTATAGTATGCATATAAAATGCTGGACCGGAAAATCGGGTTAGTTTAAAGCTACTGAATTCGTGTAACAATAATAATTGAAGTTTGAGATCGTGACTCGTTGGATCACATCCCACTTTTAACATATCAGGTGATAAGCTTCACGCAAGCGATAAATACGAATATGAGGTTTGCTAAAAGCAAACAGAATAACGCTAAAACATGATGAAGTTTTTATAATTGTGCTAACGTGGCATAATCAATATGAACATATTTTTTTAATTCATTTTCGCGTCGCTTAAAATTGACTTCCAGATTAGCCACAACACTTCGCCTGTATTCTAAGAACCGGGATACATGACTTCTGCAATATATTCTGCTAATTAACAAATTCCTTAATTTTTCGTATCCTTTCTGGAATAACGATTTCTGGGTTTTTTGATCATACCATACTTCGAGAAGGAAAATTCCATTATCTTGACATATGTAACTGTTTTTGCCGATCACGATTAACAATGACCTCAAATTTTTTAACGTTTTTATACCAGCTGGTGCTATGAACCGATGCTGGGCCCCTTGCACCTCTAATACAATTTGATATTTTTGGAAGAAGTCATCCATTCAAGAAAGGAGGGCGATATTCAATTATTGGCTCCTCATTAAGAATTTTCTTAGCTATCTGGATGCATCTAGTCTGGAATTTGCGATTTTTTTAGATTCTGATTTCTTTGTATATTCTTTTATAATTGGTTTATTTTTGAATTCTTAGTCTCAAGCTTATGGATTACAACCTCAATATGCTCAAAAAGGATTGGATATTGCAAACCAGTTTTAAGTATTACTATATCCGCCTCATTTTTAACATATTCTTCACACCAGCCAGCTTAGCATTTCTCAGCAGTCTCAGGCTTAAGCTTGATATACTTGACATTCTTAGCCTTAAGTTTGGCATACTTAGCTTCAAGCTTAGCTTTTTAAATCAAAAGCTTAACTTTTTCTTGCTCTGATGAATTGATTACAGGTTGCATTCTTGATAATACTGTACTTCTCTGAAAATAAGCAACATATTTTTGCTATATTATTGCTTATTTTTGGGTATTTTGATAAAGAAATCTTTTTTTTGAAATGGAAACGCTAAATAAATATTGAATTTTTAAAACCGTTGACAATAAATTCAATCCAATTCCTATCACAAATCCTGTGATTATTGATCATATTAATTATCTGTTTATCATGTAAAATGAGAACAAATTTTTAATTCAGCTAAGTACTCATTTTTTGTATAAATGCTACAATTTAATAAAAAAGAATTATTAAATGTAAGATCATAAATATTAATAAATGTAAATAAACTTCGTATTTTATTAAATAGAAAATATAAGTTATTACCTAAGCAAAAGAATATAGATACAATAAAATAACAAAATACATTGATCTTAATTATTATCACCTTTTTTTAATTTATTGTAGTTGGCTTTCTCATCAAAGTAATTGTAGCTCTTTGTCAAAGATTTCTTGTTTCCATTGTGAAATAGATAATGTTTTTAAATTTAAAAAACAATTTATGTAGCCTAGTTTCTGTAACGTCTAGTGAAATTTCTGTAATCATAATCAAATGATTAGGTATGTAAGAGGCAGATTTTTTTATGTCTAATAGCTAAAACATAGTATTATTTATATTGGGAAATTTGAAAGTGCAAAAGGCATCATGTTCATATTTGTCAATAAAAGTAATTTTAATAATTAATTGATTTTAATCAATTGGGTGTTTTTCTCTAATGGCAATGATGAATGAGTTGTATTTATTATAGCACAGATCAGTGATTTTTGAGATCTTCATTTAGGGGTTCAATCTAAGGAATTTTTCCATCAGAATGTATGCAAAAAATTTGATAATCTGAGTTGAAGATGCTTCAAAGCTGAGAATCAAAGTGTCTAAAATATTTTCTAATATATTAAAGGACTCGTTAATATTTATAGTTAGTTTTGACGTAGTTATTTCTGATGTTGATGTAATAATTTCAGAATTTTTCCTTTGACAAGATTGTTGGTTAGATTTTCCTTAATAGGATCAACTTCTATTATGTTATTATCTTTTAGAAGAACAGGTGTAATAAATATTTTTAGATATTCTATAATAAGATTGTTATTTAGAGTTTAGGTTATGTTTTATTTTTTTGTTAATTATTTATCAGTAACTGAAAATGCAGAATAACCGCGATTGATATTCTTTTTTTCATTTTTTCTTAGTATTTTTAGTGGATTGTTAAATCAACAAAAAGAGTTTTTTCTCAATTTTCTTTTATATGAGAGATTTTATTTTATTTATACAAAAATTAATGTAGATCATTTTTGTAAATCCTAATTCTATTCCTCTTATTCCTATAATTTTTAATCTCATTCTCTAGTTCTATTCTTTTAATTTCTAATCTTATTCCCTAATCTTATTCCTATAATTCTTAATCTCATTCTCTAATCCTATTTTTATACAGTAAACTCTTGATATAGTGAACTCTTGATATAATAAATTTTTTGAATAAATATAATAAAAATACTCTTGTTATAGCGAATTGACCAATCAAATCTCTTGAAATCTTCACTATAGCCTTAAGCGAAATTGAAGTTTAGGATATAGAGTTCGTTATAATAAGAGTTGACTGTAATTCTTATTCCTATAATTCTTAACTTTTTTGTTTAATATTTTTACTATTTTTCCTAAGTTTCTTTTATTTGATGATTGATTTATCCTTTTTCCTTTGGTAAGTATTTTATCTTTTTCCTTTGGTAAGTAATTTATCCTTTTCTTCAATAAGTAATTTATCTATTTTCCTTTAACTAATAATTTAATCATATTCTGTATCTAGTTTTTTGGTTAAATATTTATCTGTTAGTCTTTTATTTAACTAAATGTTTCTTTAATTTTCCTTTGTAAAGTCACGTGATATTAGTTCTATAAATTCATAACTCTACAACATATATTGCAAATAAGCTTTTCTTTTTTATAAATTAAAATTTACTTATCAGTACTATTAATTTATTATTATATATAAAACTAAACTTTTTAAATATATCATAAGAAACCAAATTCCTTCTAATATTATAATTTAATTTCAAAAAAATAGTTAGATAGACTATGATTTAATAATAAAGAATATAAATTATTTTAATAATATAAGGATTAAAAATAGGTCTCAAAGAAATCTAATAATATTAATATATAATTTTTTAAAGGTAATTTAAAAGAATTAGTAAAAAAAGTTTTATAAATATAATTTTGTTCTTGTAATAATTCTAGTTGGTTGATTATTTATTTACTACTAGATATTGCAATAAATAAATTATTTAAAATAATTTTTGTAAAAAATAATATATTTAAATAACTGATAATGATGCTAAAAATAGCTAAAGAAATTTTCATTATACTAGATTTAGTGATATATATTTGTAAGTTAAAAAGATTAAAAAAATTTTAATAAAAAATTCTAAAGCTTATGAATATTGATTGATTTAAATTTAAATTTAAAATTTTTAATAAAGATAATGTTAATAGTAATAATAATAATAATAACAATAATATTATTATTAATAATAATACTAAAAATAATATTGATGATAATATTGAAGATAATATTAAAAATCATGTTTAATATAATTTATATATTTAATATTAAAAATAAAATTTTTTTAATATTAAAAATTTTTATATATATATTTTATAAAATTAATTTATTAAATTTATTTAAATGTTTATTTTCAAATATTATATTAATTTGAATAACTTATTTTTAAAAATTACTTATTTTAGAAGAAATAAGATAATACTTTATATAAGATAAAAATTATTTAATATTATATTATAAAGATAAAGATAAGCTTTATTAATATAGAAAATAAAAAATACAAGATGTTATTTATATTATATAATAGAATTTCTATGCTAAATAAAACTATTTATACTTTTACTCTAAATATATATATTTTATTATTGATCTCCAATTTCAATATAACCAGAAAAAAAAACGGAAATAACAATAACAACAACAAGTCTAACAAGACTCGCTCTTCTTCCTCTAACAATGACCAACAGCAACGACCTGTTAAGAAACAGTTTATTGAACTTCCTCAAACAACTGAAGCTTCGTCTTCAAAAGATATTACAGAAAATGTCACGTCTTCTGACATGAAACTTGACACAACCGCTCGTTTACGTAGCGACAAAAAAAAAATACCCAAAACTTTCTCATCCTCTCCAAAAGCTCTGATAGATATCGACCAAGCTTTTGACGTTACTAAAAATAGCCTTGATAATAACAAAAATAAAGCAAATAGTATTCACCTTGATCGAGAAATGAAAGCCCCAATCTACTTTACCTACTGCGCCGCTGAACGCTTCTTTCCAGCCAAAACTAATTGAGAAAAACAAAACGAGGTGTGTGATATATTCGCATCACATTACGTCTTTTTCATTGGTACATCAGTACGCACTCACCCTGATGACCCTAACAAAAAAATTGTCCAAATTGGTTTTACCTCGTGCGATGAAGCCAATCATGCAGTCACCCTCAAAATTCCTTGTTTGGACAATAACACGTTTTCACCCCTGATCACCAAATCAGCTGCAAAATACATTCCAGATTTATCGATCAGAATAACTGAGATCCCGATCTCTACTACAGAATCAAACTTAAGATCTACTTTTTCCTTTTTTAGGAAGATCACCAAATGTACGATGTTTACCAAAAACTTATAGCAACAAGCTACTATTACCTTTGAAGAAAATACAGACATGACCACCCTGAATAAACTTAACAGCTACTTCATCCTAAAAGACCTTGTCTGAGTTCATCCTTGTAC